GGGGGGTGAAATGGCGGCCTGGTGGGGGCAGAGCAGGGAGGAGGGGGAAAGCGTCGGGTGACACCCCGAAACTGGGCAATAAAAGGGCCGATCAAGTGAAATTCATAGAATGGTTTAGGTTGGAAGGGACCTTGAAGATCATCTAGTCCACCCCCCAGCCATGGGCAGGGACACCTCCCACTAGACCAGGTTGCTCCAAGCCCCATCCAGCCTGGCCTTGACCACCTCCAGGGATGGGGCCGCCACAGCTTCTGTGGGGAACTGCGCCGGGGGCTCACCGCCCTCAGAGTGGAAAATACCCTCCTCATATCTAATCTAAATGTACCCTCTTCCAGTTTGAAGCCATTCCCCTGTACGTTCCCCTGAGCCTGACTGATGATGGTGATGGGCTCAGCACTTGCTCCAGAGATGAGGTTTTAAAAACTGCATTGTTAAGCTTTCGCTTTTCCATAATTCATTTACTTCGTTCTTCAACATAACACGCTGACTGCATAGATCCGACTCTTGTCTTCTCAAACCCAGATTTTAAAAAATTGCAGCATGTTTAATTTGTCTCCAACCACAAGGTGACAGCACTTTATGTAGTTTAACGCTGACCATTGGGAAGAGCTACAGATACTTTACAACCCATAAATCAGAGGCGGTGGAGGAGTTTTACGCTTTGAAGAGCAGAACTAATGGAAGTTGCAAAATCATTTATATTGCAAATCTGCTCTTGGTGAAGGCCCCCTGCAAGCACGGCTTTTAGGGCTTGCAAAGTCCAGCGGGATCGCCAGATTGCATACGCGGATGTTTGAGAGTGCAATGTAATAAAACTGAAATGCAGAAAATACTAATTTTCTTGCTGACACCAGTAATACACTTAATGTGCGTGTACATAGATAGAGGCACTGTGATGAACCGAGTGATGTACTGGATATGTTGGACTGCTGACATTTTAAATTTTATTGTGGAAGCTTGACATATTTTGTAAGATGCTTTAGATTAATAATTGGAGTACTTTTCTCATTATTATTTTTTCTGTGAGCAGATTGTGAACATCAGAATTTGTTTGAAATATTAACTCATTTTCCTAGAGGAGGTGAAACAAATGTCATTCCATGGCAAAATGAATGAGGTTTAACATTGGCTGGACTCATTAATCATATTATTCAGAAATTTCTGGGGTATAGGAAAGGCACAGCAAACTGAGGTTCAAACCCAAGATCTGTGTCTCTAATCTGCACAAATTTTCTGGTGCAGATTGAACACTTTCCTTTTTCCCAATGGCCATGTATTTTGTTTCTGCTTGTGGGAAATTCAACCTACTCCTTTTTAAAATTTTGAAGAAAATGTTAAGTAAGAAACTGAGCCAATTAAATTAAAATTTAAGAAAATACTTGGCATCTACCAACATCATAGGCAATAGGACTTGCAGAAAAAGGGAAATGTAGGTTTTGTGACATTTTGTGGCTAGCTGGGAAAGCCCAGATGTTGCTGAAAGTCGGGGAATGTGAGTGTTGCTGTGGCTGATAGACTTCAGATGTGCATACCCCTGTGTTATTGGTATGTGATGGCCACAGCCGTGGACGTGAGAAAGAGTGTAGTCTCCAAGTATCTTGTCACCTCACTAGTGAACTTCATAGAAATCTTTCTCTCCTCACCCTTATTACTTTCCTCAAATTGATGATTTAAAAAAATACTCTTTTATTCTAGACACTCTGATGTAAAAGCATTTCTTCAGTCAATTCAAAACCTTTGTGATTCTGGGAGAGTCCATGGTGTGACCTACAGATGGGTGGGTTTTGCCTTAAAAGGAAAAATGGTTGACGACTCCATCTGCCATTAAACCTTGTCAAGAAAGAGAGAATTTTGAGCCATCCAGCAGCCTTCGAGGGTCTATTTCAGACCGCTCCCCTCCCTCTCCCAGGCAATGAACACACAGGAGACCCTGTATAAATCCTAGTTCATCAGCTGAAATGCATCTCCCAAGTGTGTATTTACCAGCCCAGCTTCTAAAACTAACATGAACAAGACAGGAACCTTGGCTACTAACCAGGCATATCACTCAGGTGAACCTGGCACCAAATTTAATACTGTACCAGGCCAAGCAAGTACAGAAGAGCAGACTCTTCTCCCCTGGCAGCCCCGCTTTGCTACTGACGGACAAATCAAGGGGCTTGCGAAGTTTTCACCTGGTGAAGTGTAGCCATTAAATCATCCATTGTGTAGGGATGTGGACCAACGCTAGAAATGGTCACAGCAAGTGAAGCGTAATTCTGGTATTTTATCACTGAGGGAAGTTACTTTTTCCCTGCTGCCCTCACAGCACTTCTCTAATGGATCAGTTCCTGAAGCGGCTGCCAGCGGCAGAGAGATAGGGTTTTCTCCCCCGTCTTTACCATGTCTTCTGCTTTCCTGCAATCAGTGTAGCAACCTTTGCTTCTTTAGCCATGAAGAGCATGACGTGTGAGACTCCTTCAGCCATTTCAGAGCCTTACCTTGCTCACCACGGAGAGGGTCATGTCCTATTCCCCTGTCTGTCTGCCCACCCCTCTCTCTCCTCACCAGCCCAGCTCTACGCACCCTCCCAACAATGGCCTTAGAGGTGTTACAGGAGCCTGCACCCAAAACAGGCTCTGGCTGCAGTTATTAGCCGACCGTAGAGGTAGACAGATTTGGTTTCCAGTTTCTCTGAAAAACCTTTAAAGATGAAACTGAAGAATTTTTGAGTGCCCCCTTTTATTGAGAAGTTTACCTCACGCAGTTGTCCCACAGTTATCTTTTAAGCTGGCTGTTGATGTGACAAACAGAAAATCACACAGATTCATAGACTGGTTTGGGTTGGAAGGGACCTTTAAAGATCATCTAGTCCAGCCCTCATCCTTTGGGAAATTCCCTTCACCAACATAGAAGTTGTTGAATTCTTAAGCTTCTGTGTGGTATTTTCCAAGCTATTTATTTCCATAACTGCACTCTGAAAGGATGCATTCTCCTTAAAAGACTCTTATCATAATTCCTAAGATTATTATCTGTGAAAGCAGTTTAAACATGAAGTAACAAGCATCCATCACGTCTGCTGTGAGTGATGGTCTGTGTTTATTGGACCAGTAGGAAAGAAAAAGAGACCTAGTCATGTAAAGAAACAGTGAATTCAGATCTCTGGAAGCTGTGAGATTAATGGAAAACCACATAATATTTTCAATACCTTTTTTTTCTTGTAATGCTGATGAAACAAAGATAGAGATGTCAGATGAGCTGCGCAAGCTGCAGAAGAAATAATCATCAAAATTATGGTTGGGATGTAAACATATATCCTGTGGCTTGTGTGCAGAGCCAATAGGACCCTGCCCGTTTGTCAGATTGTACTTGTCTTTCAAACAGTTTAGGTGAAACAGCACTTGAGAGAGAAAATAATTGCACAGCAGTGCACCCTTTAATGACTAAATACAACCTTTATTATAGAAACTCCAATAATAGAAAAATAAAGAACATATCTTACTTCTCATAGCAAATTATTTTTTAGCAACTATATATTAGAGCAAGCTAGAAGTGATCAACCAAACCATCCTCATACACTCAAGACGCTAATCTGCATCTCCTTCCTCTTTCCACCAGAATTAACAGATGGTTTTTAATTTGGACTTTGTCCATCAGAGAGCAAAAAGACTGAAAGAAATTAAATCTTACTTCATAAACTCCCTGGGGATTTGCTAAACATGACATCATCGTGCTCATGGGGTGCCCTTGTGCCTCCCTGGTGTGCAAGAGACCGCGGTGGATGGTCTGGGGTGAGAGCTGCAGCAGAGCATCAGGGACCTGTAGGGATGTGCTCACCTCCTAATTTCTACGAGTGGCCGCACTGTATCCCGACCAGCACGTGCTTGTAAGCAAGTGAAGCATAGCTTCCCTGGTGGGGTGCATCATGTCACCATGATCGATCTCTTCTGGTTCAGGGATGGGTTGATCCAAGTCCACAAGTGAGGGAGAAAGCGAGCTGGGGCTGCTGAGACCAACATTGCGGGTCACCCAGCTGCAACCTTGTCCCCTCTCACCGCAGACTGTGCTCTTCTCTCACCTCTTCGGGTACCTGGGCTCAGGCTGACTACATGAAGGGTTTTGGCATGCAGATTTTTAGGGCAGGTTGGTCAGTAAACCCCTGTCCCAAGCAGTGAGCCAGTTGCTGAACAAAGGTCTGACTATGGCGAAGAGCAGCCCTGGAAGGGAAGCAAACTGCCAGACTTAGAAAATACTGTTTTCATTTACATCCACATCACCAGGAAGCAAAGGAACTGTGTGCTGCTGCCCATGGTATAACTGTCATGGCCCACCTGATGTACAACTGGCTGATCATAAGAGCCTCTTCTATGTGAGGTGCTCTTTTAGGGACTTTTTGCGCAAAATGTTTCCTCAGACAAGATGTTTAAAAGAGAAAGTCTGGCAACCGAGACCAGTTACACCTATATAGTCTTCCCACCAGGAGGAGGACCTCAAAGCAACTCCATTAGAAAAAAAAAGTGCCGGCCAAATATCTACCTAAATTCTGGCAGAAAATAGGTACAGGCAGCAGCTTTAAAAGCAGCACATGGGAACTCAGGGAGCAGCTGGGCTGCCTAATTCTAATTCAGCGTTAAATTCAGAGAGACAAGGCTCCCTGCCACGCTGGCATGCGGACACGCAGCCCTGCTGCCGGCTGTTGGTGCGGTTTGTGGCCGGGGAAGGAGGTGACGGGACTCAGGCTGGGCTGCAGATGGGAGGAAGGTTGCACTAAGGGGCTGGGATCTCCTGATGCAGTAAGGAATTCTCCAATGGATCCTCTAATATTGCAAAGCACTAACTCCATTGGATTAATTTTGCTGCATGTTGGCAGCATTTCATGGGAGCATCCAATCGTTTCATCGGTTTATACCATGTGCACTTCACCTGTGCCGTTTAGAGCAAGCCCGGAGTATTATTCATCTAGAAAGGGCAGTATGCAGCTTCATAAAAATAGCAAACAAATAATAGCAATAAAAAGCATAAGAACAAATCAAGTAAACCTGGATCCAAATATTGTTCAATACCAACAGTTTGATTCACTGTAGAAAGAAAAAAAGTGGGGGAAAAAACCCATTAACCTTGCATCATCCCCTTGCCAGAGGGTGTTACAAGATTAAACAAAGAATTATCAGTCATTAAGAACAGTTTTGTCTCCTCATGTTGATGTCAAACATTAAAAGACTGAATATTAACGTAAAGAGATTTTTCAGTACAGAACACAGAAGAAAATGCTATATCCATATCAGTGTAAGTAACAAACTGTACAAATCATGCAACCCGACAATCCAAAGAACACGTGAAATAGGACTTAGTTTTGAATGGGAAGGATTGGTCACTATTGATCACTGGTCAGAATGGCTCAGGGTCAGATCATGTGCGGTGCTGAACTTTTTAGGCAGTGTTTGTTGTTAAAATGGCCATACGTAACAGCTTGAACAGTAACATCACTGTTACATACATAGGCTCGTTTTCAAATGGAAGTTCTTCCGTATATTTACCTTTCCTGCTGGACATCTCATCCATTCTCTTGTTTTAAAAAAAGCGAATGCTTTAATCGAGTATAAAAATCTGCTTTTGGAACAGCAGTTTAACAGTACTAACTAACCCTGAGAACTAGAGGGATTTTATTAAGCCAAGGGTCTGAACCAACGCTGCCGAGTTCAGGGGGCTGCTTGTCGGCTAACTGGGGGGAGGGAAGAAGGGTGAAAATAAGCTAAAGTTCCCTAAGCAATATTACCAGTGCTGGAGCCTTTTACAAAACAATCAATGAAATACTCAAATTTCAAGTATTCGACTGAATACAGTTCAGATCACTGTATCTGTATTAAAGGTTTGAAAGTTTGGTATTCTGTTTCTTGTGCTGCTTTCCCTTATAATCATATTCAACTGCCTCCCTTGCTCGCAGCCTGTTCTGACTGCTGTCTTATGTTTCCCCAAGTGCAAAAGTGCTTCAAAATTGTCTTTGTCTTATTTATTGGTTCATTCAGACTCAAAGGGAAGACTTACGGAGACTGTTATTTACTTCCACAGCTACATATTATGTCGGTTATGGAACAGTATGACCCTCTTTCCTGCTTGACAAAGACGAGCCTCTTCTAGTAAGTCATGGAATGGAAGGATTCCTTTTCTTTCTTAATTTAAATAAGTAAAGTCTCAATGGTTAAATACTAGTAAAATATCAAAACTATTTAAAAAAACTTAAGGGAAATTAAACTCACAAGATATTATCATCAGTTTTACCTAGTGAAAATCCAGTGAGGTTCCATCACCATTAATAATTGCTTAGGATTTGGGCCATTATTAATGAAAATTAAATTAGCTGCCAGCATTTCTATTTGTTTAGCTCCAGATTATACTAACAACAAGGAATTTTTGCAGATTACTTCAGTCTTTCTTTTGTTTAATAGATGCCATTCCACAGTCCTTTTCCAGGCAAAACTTTTATTGTTAAAATTTAAGCCATTACTCTAACTCCTAAGGGGGAATTGTGTTCTTACTTAATATTATTTTCTCTTTTGTAAATGTTTTTATATATAATTTCTTATCATTTTGATGTCATTTGCTGCAGTGAACAGATTGTGTTGCATGTGCGTGTGTGTGTGTGTACATTTGTGCATCTGTTTCGCTTTTTAAATCTTTTGTGACAAGGAGATTTTCCTTGTTACAACACAGGAAATTAGCTGAACTTAATCTCAAAAGCAATTACTACTTTCATGCCTTCATCGTTGGCTTAGCAGGGAATAGACTGCACACTGTACCAATGAGTGTGCTTTAAAGCAACTCCAAATTATTTCCATACAAAAATCCAGCTGCTCAGCTGTAAGCACACTCGATAGCATTCACTTTGGGGCAGAGAGTTTGCCCAAGGCCTGTGCAGGCTTTTATTTCCCACAGAAGCCTTGGACATACAGCATCAGTGCATTTCCATTTGCTCACGGGCCTGGTGCATGTCTGCCACAATTGGAGCCACTTAATCCCTGGCGTTTTCAGCGAGTGAGGTGTCTTCCCCAATTTAGAGAGATCTGTGTCTCAGTAGAGGGATAGTTGCTGGGTTCAGGGGCGGTCACTGTAACAGGTCCATGTCTGAATAGGAAGCGGGTGATTCACGAGCTCTCACGAGACCATGAGATATTGAGCTCCTTGAATTAATTAAGCAAATTCATGCTAGTCCCCATCTATTGCCCCGGCATCCTTAGCACCAGCCCATGTGTCACAGTGCTTTCAGACCCTCCTGTTAGCTTTCTCCACATTGTGTTGCACACACGCGGCAAAGGGATGCTGTGCCTTGAGCATCAGTTAACAACTGGGGTGGTGTGGCCTGGTGTGGCAGAAGGATGGAGTTACTGCCTCCCAGTTAATGCCTGCCCAGTTCTGCTGCACAGACACTCAGCTGCCTGTCACTCAGCTCCTGAATTGTGTAGTTTG